GCATGTAACCACAGTCTTTCCAGAATAATGTTGTATGGGAAAGGAGTATCTATCACAGTAAACTCCATTATTATATTCTTGCTCCCTGCCTGCATCTCTAGATTTGTGGCTCCGAGAGGCCATGTCGACATCCCGTTGAATTCGACCATAAGGTTGTTAGACTGCACTAAATTATCCAGATGAAGGCCAAGCTCCTTATAAAATCTGACATACATGATGTCACAAGAGCTGCCCTTATCAATCAGTATGCATCTCACCTGGCAATCTCAAATCTTCAAAGTTACCACTAGGGCAACATTGTGCAAATGCTGCACCATATCCAAGTCGACCACAGTGAAAGAAATCATTGGTCCCTGATATTCATTTATTCTAGGCTTCTTTTGTTGGACCTGATATACATGTTATAGGTGCCTTACTCTCTGGGTCTCCCCTCGAATTTCATTCTCATTGACATTTGAGTAAATCACGTTGATTACCCGAGGTCCATCCGCCTGCTGCGGTAGTGGTGGTGGAGGTGGTACTATTGGTGCCTAAGGCAGCCTTGCATGCTCTTCCCTTGTTCTCGCCTCATCTACTAGGTCTCTCAGGTGACCCTGTCTAACCAGATCCTCCAAATGTGACTTCAGAGCCCTGCATCCCTAAGTCATATGCCCGTCTTCGTTATGGTAGGCGCAATGCTTTCCAGTGCTTCTACCCATGAACTCGCCAAGGACCCTCTCCGATGCTCTGTTGTATAGCTGGTTTCGGATCCTCTCTAAAACCTTATAGATCGAAATCCTGAATACCGTACTCACTACTTGCATAGCCCTCGTTCTTGTTTCTGGCCTGTCAACATTGGTATTTCCTCAGTCTCGCTTCGGCAAGCCGTTCCTCTTTTCTTGCTTTGGTATCTTCATTCATTGTGTATCTTCCTTTACTCTGGCATACTTCTCAATCCGTGCCATGAGCTCTTCCATGCTCTTCGGTAGGATTTTTGCAAGTGATTTTCAAAGCGGACAATTATCATTTAGGCTGTTTTTGAAAGACACAACAGCCAGTTCCTAGTTACAAGTCGGAATTCGATTATACACCTCATAGTATCTCTTAGCATAAGCCCTGAGGCCTTCGCCATCGCTAATCTTCAAAGCCAATAGGGAGTCTACCCTTAGTGGTCGTACTTGTACGTACCAAACCTAGCCACAAACATTTCGGCTAGGCCTTCCCAACTCTTTACACTTCCTTTCAGCAACTTATGGAACCAATCTGATGCTATCTCCTTGAACGATGATTGGAATACCTTGCACAACAATTACTCGTTCCTGCTCCACAAGGCCATTTAATTCAAATACAAACCAACATGAAAGTTTGGATCAAACTTATTGTCATAGATCTGAAACCTCAGCATGTTTGAATCTCTTCGGTGCCTCAAACATATCTAACTCCACCAAGAATGGTGTCCTCGGTTGGACGTTGGACGTGATCTCAGTGTTAAGTCTCTTTCTTTGGAGGTAATCTCTCAGATCCTCCTTCGTTCTACTTGGAGCTCGATTATCAATAAACTTCAGCCTCTTCGGCGTGCTACTCCCGATGTAATTGTGCATCCTCTTGGACTTCCTTTTGTCTACTGCATCAAAACAGAGGCCTTGCCCTTGGATTTGTCGAGATCCTTTGACATAAGTCCCCTTGGTCCGCAATGTGCTCTGTGACTCACCTCATATTGACTCTGTACACCCACATCGTTTGATGGCCAATGTGAGTTTCCTTGACCCCTGCCATGTTGTCGAACAACTGGGACTGCCTTCTATCCTCCTTTCTGGGCATCAGTCTTGGCTGCTGGTGCCGGTGTCTCCTGCAATGAGAATGATAGTTACATCACGTTGTTTTGCATCATGAAGTTGGCCACAGTCTGCAAGTCTGTCAACTTGTTTTCCATGTCCTTCATCTCCTCATCCCTCCTCAGGCATCTATCCTTCCATATCTAGAGGTCACTTTCATTGTAGTATTCTTCTCGGCATCTCTTCTTCGAAACATTGCTCCCCTTGCCAGCATTATTCACCCCAAGATTTGGTTCATGTACTCCTTCATTATGGTTCTCTTCTCTGGCAGTAGGATCCATATGTTCCTCCTCCTCACTGTGGATGTCGTGCCCAATTTCCTCTTCCTGCTCGTTATTGGCAATCTATTCTCCTTAAGTTTCCAAAGACGACGCCAAATTGTGAGTGTTAATTTCTGACCATACAACTAATCAATGAACTTAGTTGTAGAGTACCGGCAAAATAGATTGAACCAACTACATGCTAACAAGAAGATGAGAATACCGCGGTGGTTCATCTACCTGGGGGTACTCGGACGATCAAGTCAATAAATCTTATTTCTCACAGATATCAAAACAATACTTAAACTCCCAAGTAAAAACTTACCTCCGTCCCACTAGGGTGCCTCACTTTTATATCCAGTAGTGACCTAGTCCCCTAGAAGCCTCACTTCATTGGACTCAAGCTCAATACTCATCCTAGACTATCAGCTAGATAGGGATAAACTCCTCATAAGCCTTATCTTTATCCAGACTGAGAGCCTCTTCTGTTCTAGGACTCTTGTCCCTTATCTGGATACCTTGGGATTATCGCATTACCACAAAACATCTCGGCAATGCCGTGGTCACCTCAGCAACATGACTCATCCACGTGGCACCTTAGCTAACATCTCAGGGCCATGCCACGTGGCGTCATTCGCAAAATACTTCCCCACAGAAACATATTTTTAATATCATTAAAAACTTTTAATTGACTTAATAATTTATTTATAAAATGGGCAATTTGTTATGAAATTAGAAACCTCAGGGAGTGGAATGTAATTTCCAAAACTAAAAGGAGTAATTCATATTTTAATCAAACCTCAAGGTATGTATTTGTAATTTACCCATTATTTTTTCTTCATCTTTTTCCTTACTCCAAAACTCCAATTTAGTTTATCAAAACTCACAATTATTATCAACATTATTGTTTTTTATTGTTATTACTAGCAAGATTCGAGGATGCCTTACCCTGTCTTGCTTTCTGAGTTTGCTCAATTCGATTCGATGACCTGTGGCCATGTTATTGGGTTAGAAACCAGATATATGTAGTCTTCGTTTGTGAAGAGCTAAAATAGCCTGGCTTTTTGGAGTGTTGATTTATGATCACACAACCAATCAGTGAACTTAGCTGTAGAGCACCAGCGGAATAGATTGAGCCAACTACATGCCAACAAGAAGATGAGAATACCGCGGTGGTTTATCTACCTGGAGGCACTCTGACGATCAAGTCAATAAATCTTATTTCTCACAGATATCAAAACAGTACTTAAACTCCCAAGTAAAAACTTACCTTCGTCCCACTAGGGTGCCTCACTTTATATCCAGTAGTGACCTAGTCCCCTAAAAGTCTCACTTCATTGGACTCAAGCTCAATACTCATCCTGGACTCTTAGCTAAATAGGGATAAACTCCTCATAAGCCTTATCTTTATCCAGACTGAGAGCCTCTTCTGTTCTAGGACTCCTGTCCCTTATTCGGATACCTCAGGATTCTAGCATTACCACAAAACATCTCGGCAATGTCGTGGTCACCTCAGCAACATGACTCATCCACGTGGCACCTTAGCTGACATCTCAGGGCTATGCCACGTGGCGTCATTCGCAAAATACTTCCCCACAGAAACATACTTTTAATATCATTAAAAAAATTTAATTGACTTGATAATTTATTAATAAAATGGGCAATTTGTTATGAAATTAGAAACCTCAGGGAGTGGAATGTAATTTCCAGAACTACAAGGAGCAATTCATATTTTAATCAAACCTCAAGGTATGTATTTGTAATTTACCCATTATTTTTTCTTTATCTTTTTCCTTACTCCAAAACTCCAATTTAGTTTATCAAAACTCACAATTATTATCAACATTATTGTTTTTTATTGTTATTACTAGCAAGATTCGAGGATGCCTTACCCTGTCTTGCTTTCTGAGTTTGCTCAATTTGATTCGGTGACTCACGGCCATGTTATTGGGTTAGAAACAAGATATATGTAGTCCTCATTTGTGAAGAGCTAAAATAGCTTGACTTTTTGACTATTTTGGCCTAGCTTTTTTAGTCTCGTTTGGTTTTTGTTTTTGGCTTTTGTGGCTTTTGTGAGAGAAAAAATATAATGATTATGATTTAAATGTAACATTTTATCTTATTAACTTATATAATCAATTTTATTTTTTATACTTTTCTAATCAAAAAGTCAAAACCAAACATAATTGTATGTATATATACCATATGGAGCCAATTTATACCAGTACTATATGCAACCATATACAGCACGTGATATGATGTTTGTGATCTGCAAAACAGGCCCATGTACATGATATGATTTTTGTGATCTACAAAACAAGCACTATCTTCTTCTACAATCTTTTTATTTCTTATCTTTATCAATAATATATGTATATATAAATAAATTATATTGATCATCTCTATTTTAATCATTATATTATTTTGATTCTTATAATTTTAATGCGCTTCACTATAAAGTTCAAAAAATCATTTGTTACATGTAAACTGAACATGTTTTATTGAAATTGCAATCATTCTTACAAAAAGTCATATTAAAAAGTTCAAATTTTAATCAGTCAAAGATGGATTAGTCATGTTGTTTTGTTACGCAACTTTAAGTCTATTTTTGGTTTCTTTTTTTTTTTTTTTTTAAATAGCAAGCAAATCAAATTTATTAAAATATAGAATGATACAAATGGCTTAAGAAAAAATTACATCATTGTCCAAACTAAGCATTTTAATTAGGTTGACACCCAAAGTATGACTAATAATGTGCATCTCCAAAACCCCAAAACCGAGTTAGAGAGGTTTCAACTCAATACAACTTACACTACTAGAAATATGATTTTTTGTGTCTATTTTTTTACAGCTAATTTTTTAACCATCGCAAAAAATCACTTTTACATAACAATCTCGTTTTACTTAACCCCCAATTGTGTTCTTAACAGAAAACAAAAAATAAAAAATAAAAAAAAACAAATCATGTAAAACTATCCTTATCCCCTTTCACTCTTATTTCCCAACTCTCTCTCTCTCTCTCAAATCTCACAAATCATACTGGTAATCTCTCAAATTCTCTTCTCTCTCAAAATCTCACAAATCATACTAGTAATCTCTCAAATTCTCCTCTCTCAAACTCAACTCTCCACTCTCTCTCTCGCTCAAATCTCACTGTCCACTCTCCACTCTCTCTCGCTCGACTCTCTCTTTGATAAAAATATGAAGATTTTGATCAATTGTTGATGAAGATTTGAAGATTTCAATCTGCTGTTGATGAAGATTTGGATTGATTCATAATCGGTATGCCTAATTTCTATGTATGAATCCAACTCTCTGTCTCTGTAATCCCTATATCTTTCTTTCAACTCCCAAATTCTCTATGACTCATAGCTTTGTTCGATTTTGAAGATCAACATCAACGGTAACAACATGAAATTTTTTCAATTCAATTTATTTTTATCAATGCGGTGCAGATTCTGATTTCGAAACATCTTTTTTATTCGAAAATTCATTTTATTTTTTTATTTTTTAAAATTATTAAATCTTGATTTGCTTTGTCTTTAAAACTTGATCTGAACATTTCTCTAGATTGTTTGCTAAATTTTATTTAGTTTTTGAACCTCTTGTTTGTATGCTGCGAAAATTTTAGGAACCAACCGAATTTCAAACTTTTACTATTATGCTTTTATGTTTGTTTGGCTAGAAAGCTCTGCTTTCTTGTTCTTCTGGACTACTCATTGAGGAGTTGGATGTTTCTTCAATGGCAACTTTATCTAACCACCTACGTTTAGGAAGCGTGAAAGAAAACAAATTACAAATTTTGTACTCAATAATATGGGTAACTAATTTTGAATACCTCACCAATTGTATTGGTTTAGTAGCCTCATTATTTTTCATGCTTTACATTAATGTATTGGTAATGAATAATGGAGATTGTTTTTGATAGCTAGGGGTGGGAAGACTAGACGGAGGTGGGAAGAAGGAATGAAAAATTGATTACAAAACATTGGAAATCATCTTTTTTTTCTAGAATTTAGTAAATTATATATGAATACTAGTTTTCATTTTTATAACAAAAATAGACTCTACAAACAAGTTTGGTTTCTAGTTTTCAGAACTAGTTTCCATTTTTAATGATTCATTCTGTTTTATTGTATTCACCATATTTAATCCTAATTTAATCCCAAAAAAGAAATCATAAAAATTTAAGAACTTTCTATGATTAAGACTATATTCTTGATCATGAATCATCTTGTGATGTAGAATTAATATAAAATAAACTACAAATGTCCATCAATATATAGAATCTGTGAATCATAGACAAGAAAGTAATTCACTCACTCATCACCCTTCATGTCACTCTCTCCATGAGCATCTAGAATTTATTGATCATATAAAGAGACCTATGGTTGATTCATATTTAATAGCAACATTACATTACTAATCCATTTGTCTAATTACTACATTAGTATTTACAAATTAATCTTCCAAAAGGGTGTTGGTGTTTGATGGTATTATTGTCTCAGTTGTTGAGGTCTTGGGTTCATCCATCTTACAGATGGATTACGTTTGTTGTGCTTTTTCTATATTTTTTAAAATGTATTGTTAGACTATAATATGTTTGGTGTAACTTTTTTTCAAACTGACAGATCAAAATAAAAAATTAGGATCTAAAAGTCTCCCCTTTCTCAGGTTCTAGATTACTAATTTTTTTCTAACTATTTATACTATTTCATCTCATAAGCTACAAAACAAAGTTGCATCAAAACAAAGTGATTAAAATATCTATTAATTGGTTAGAACCTCTATACTTTCCGTATACTTGTTGAGATTTCTCTTTTTCATGTTTGGAAGTTTCTTTATATTAATTATGTATTGTATTTAGTTCAAGGACTTCTAAATTATGTTGTCCTTGTTATGATTATTGTGCATATTTGAATGTCCAATTCAATAGATTTCTCTAAAATGTCCAAAAAAATAAAATGAGCCGACTAATGAACAAATTAAAGGTACAAATGATACAATGAAGTTGTAACAAATGAACAAATTCAATAGATTTCTCTCATGTTTCGGCATAAAGCAATGTTGGAGTATTCAAGTTCGATTTTGATTCAAGAGGTTAGAAGAAGTTACATACTATCCACCTTGTTGTTTCACCAAACTTTTTTTGAGTTCTTACAATGACTTTATTTTTCATGATCTCACAGTTGGATCCGTACACAAGGGGTGTTTTTTGACCAAGGGGTGTGATTTAATCATTTTAGGAAACTGATTTTATTATTTAAAAAGAAGACCATAAATTAATAGAAGCCATGTTTTTGACATATTGGCATTGAGGAACATGAGTTTAATTTAGACTTGAGTTGTTCAAGTGAGCGTTGTGAAGGAAAATAGAATGTTTACTCACATAACTAAATGATTTGGATTACTTTAAACTTGGGTCTGGTGGAGCAATCCTCTACCATATGATGTCAGTTGAACTCTTTTGACATGGCTCTATTGATCTATCAACTCTCTTGAATTGATCTCATAACTAAATGTGTTGTTCTGATTTTGAGGTATGACTAAGGTTTTAGCATGTATAAGGATATATGTATATTTTTTTCTCATTAGTTTCTTAATAATCTATGGGGACTTCATAGAAGGGCGATAGATTTGCTAAAAGCTCCACCATTGGATGCAGAAGATATGTGTAACAATGTAGTGCATGTTTCCTTGTCTAACATAAAATCAATTTGTGATTGTTGTCTTTTTGATTCCGTAGGTGCAGAAGCAACGTTCTTCAGAAAGGACATATTGGCCCTTGAAAGAGGTATAGTTTACCATCCCATTTTTTTGATACTGCATTATTTAGAGAATAAGTTTAAGTTAATTTGTACCCATATGGAGCAATTATATCTCAGTAATGACTTATCGAACTTGGTTCTTGTCTACAAAATTTGTTGTGCCTATATTGTGGCAGTCATGTGATAGCATAGCAATAGCAGACTTGAACATCACTTATTGACCTTTGATTGCATAACTTTTTTGAATAATGAGAATATTGAGCATTCAACTGCATAAAGTATATGTTCTTCTGCACCTCCTTTTGGCACTCTTGTGAATTTCTACCACTAACAAAAGTATATGTTCTTTTATTTTCATATTTTGATTATGAAAAGGATATTTTGAGTCAACTTTTGCGTACCAAACTAAGTTTCCTTACAACGTTGAAATTTACTCACTGCACAAGATAAAAGTATTATATGTTTCCCGTTAATGATGTTTTCGTAATTTCATTATTAAATGATTCTTTTTTTTTTTTTTGTCATTTAAATATTTAATCCTAATTTAATCCCAAAAAAGAAATCATAAAAATTCAAGAACTTTCTATGATTAAGACTATATTCTTGATCATGAATCATCTTGTGATGTAGAATTAATATCAAATAAACTACAAATGTCCATCAATATATAGAATCTGTGAATCATAGACAAGAAAGTAGTTCACTCACTCATCACGCTTCATGTCACTCTCTCCATGAACATCTGGAATTTATTGATCATATAAAGAGACCTATGGTTGATTCATATTTAATAGCAACATTACATTACTAATCCATTTGTCTAATTACTACATTAGTATTTACAAATTAATCTTCCAAAAGGGTGTTGGTGTTTGATGGTATTATTGTCTCAGTTGTTGAGGTCTTGGGTTCATCCATCTTACAGATGGATTACGTTTGTTGTGCTTTTTCTATATTTTTTAAAATGTATTGTTAGACTATAATATGTTTGGTGTAACTTTTTTTCAAACTGACAGATCAAAATAAAAAATTAGGATCTAAAAGTCTCCCCTTTCTCAGGTTCTAGATTACTAATTTTTTTCTAACTATTTATACTATTTCCATCTCATAAGCTACAAAACAAAGTTGCATCAAAACAAAGTGATTAAAATATCTATTAATTGGTTAGAACCTCTATACTTTCCGTATACTTGTTGAGATTTCTCTTTTTCATGTTTGGAAGTTTCTTTATATTAATTATGTATTGTATTTAGTTCAAGGACTTCTAAATTATGTTGTCCTTGTTATGATTATTGTGCATATTTGAATGTCCAATTCAATAGATTTCTCTAAAATGTCCAAAAAAATAAAATGAGCCAACTAATGAACAAATTAAAGGTACAAATGATACAATGAAGTTGTAACAAATGAACAAATTCAATAGATTTCTCTCATGTTTCGGCATAAAGCAATGTTAGAGTATTCAAGTTCGATTTTGATTCAAGAGGTTAGAAGAAGTTACATACTATCCACCTTGTTGTTTCACCAAACTTTTTTTGAGTTCTTACAATGACTTTATTTTTCATGATCTCACAGTTGGATCCGTACACAAGGGGTGTTTTTTGACCAAGGGGTGTGATTTAATCATTTTAGGAAACTGATTTTATTATTTAAAAAGAAGACCATAAATTAATAGAAGCCATGTTTTTGACATATTGGCATTGAGGAACATGAGTTTAATTTAGACTTGAGTTGTTCAAGTGAGCGTTGTGAAGGAAAATAGAATGTTTACTCACATAACTAAATGATTTGGATTACTTTAAACTTGGGTCTGGTGGAGCAATCCTCTACCATATGATGTCAGTTGAACTCTTTTGACATGGCTCTATTGATCTATTAACTCTCTTGAATTGATCTCATAACTAAATGTGTTGTTCTGATTTTGAGGTATGACTAAGGTTTTAGCATGTATAAGGATATATGTATATTTTTTTCTCATTAGTTTCTTAATAATCTATGGGGACTTCATAGAAGGGCGATAGATTTGCTAAAAGCTCCACCATCGGATGCAGAAGATATGTGTAACAATGTAGTGCATGTTTCCTTGTCTAACATAAAATCAATTTGTGATTGTTGTCTTTTTGATTCCGTAGGTGCAGAAGCAACGTTCTTCAGAAAGGACATATTGGCCCTTGAAAGAGGTATAGTTTACCATCCCATTTTTTTGATACTGCATTATTTAGAGAATAAGTTTAAGTTAATTTGTACCCATATGGTGCAATTATATCTCAGTAATGACTTATCGAACTTGGTTCTTGTCTACAAAATTTGTTGTGCCTATATTGTGGCAGTCATGTGATAGCATAGTGTAGACACTCCATTTTTGACCGACCTTAAGACTCAGACGTCACTGACCGAGCACTTGGTGATGTTGCATAATGTGCTCGTTCAGAAGTTTTAGAGTCGCGGCCGTGAGCCCTGCCTCCGGACTTCCGAACCCTCTTCTGTGCCTTGTCTCGGTTTGCGAACCAGATTCGATTTTCTCTGTTTCTTTTCCTAAGGGGAGGGAGAGGTCCCGTAGACCATCTCTCAATGTCCGTAGGCTACATTTGGTGGCCGTAGGCCATTTTTCCCATTTCGGAGTCCGGTTCCCGGTTTTTCGGGACCGTTGGCCGTGTGCCTCGGTTCGGGACCGCTTAACCATCTCCTATTGCTCTGATTTTTGGCATACTTCCTATTTGCTCCCTTTTGAGGAACACTGGGGTCTGAGAAACCCACTTCGTGGCCGAACGCCACTTTCGGTGCTTAACAGCCCATTTTCGGGACCCCGAACTGCGCGTTTTGGTCCCCGAGCGTTCGTTTTGCAACGGTTTTCGTTCATTTTTGGCAGGTACCTCTATTTTATCACCGGGAAGGTCACTGAAGGGTGGGAGGCCAGCAATTGTTGCAGTAACCAGTTATACATACTCTGACGCCCTCCGGCGCCCGTTTTTCGCACTTCCGGGCTAATGTTGAATACCTTGGGCCCACTTTCTCGAACTTTGAACCACATATTTGTGATGTACACACATGAGAGGACCCTAAAAAGAGGTGGCCGGCCAGTAATTCAAATTGACCCTTTTGAACCCCTCCTTCCGAG